TCCGCTTAGATCGAAGAAAAGTTCTGAGGTTGCTAAAGCATTTAGGAAAATATATGGAAATCAAAATAATCCATTGATATGACTAAAGCTTTTACAATGTGATGAAGGTTGTGAGTTATGGGCAAAACCTCCTGACTAATACAAGAGCACAATATTACAATTTGAGTAATTGGCCTATATAGTCATAGAGGACTTGCTTTTGTGAAGCGTTTTAACCAAACACTCTCAAAAATTCTATACAAAATCTAGTATGCTATTGAATCAATAACTTCTGATCTTACATTAATAAGAGCATGGGTTAGATATATACCAGTAGTTATTGATTACCTAAATAATTATCCCACATGTCTTATTTGAGAACCAGAATCAGAAAAGTGAGAACTCGAGACAGAGAAAGCCATTGCTTTAGAACAAGTTGAATCTAGACCATCCACAAAATATAAGTGTCCAGTTGGATAAAATGGGTTAAAGAGAGGAGATACCATCTGCTATCTTCTTGCTAATGCAGAATGGGAAGATTGTATGAAGAATCAGAGACGCATAACTGATCCTATATAGTCACCAAATCTTCATAAAGTCCGAAAAGTTGTTCTCATAAAGAATGAACCAATTTTATATTATTCTAATAGTGATGAATATATACCAAAGCAGAGATTTGTGCGAGAAGAGCTTATATTAATAGCTGATCCAAAATGGATTGGTTGTTTACCTCAAAGCATATTATCTATACATATTGCATATGCTTCCCCTTTCAATAACGAGTTAGATCAAGCTATTGATTATGCCAAGAAGCAAGGTGGTCAATGCCTAGAAAGGACTGGATGAGTAAATGGTCATAATGTTTATTTTTGGTCCTGTGAAAACAGTGTGCATAAATGGGAGTATCCATTAAAATACATCATGGAAAAATTTGAATGGTGCCCTCTATGTCACTACACTACTGGTGAACGCAAGTCTCGATATATTTTTGAGAATCTACTAGGTAAGAAATTTCCGCTATATAGAGCTAAATTCTTAGATGGGCTACATTTGAATGGATATAATGAGGAATTGTGTCTTGCATTTGAATTCCAGGATTCTCAACACTATCATCACAATAGCTTCTACCATCAGAAGAATGAAAATCTAAAATCACAAATATGCGTGATCAGAAAAAGTGGGATATATGCAAGGATCAAGGTATATACCTTATCGAAGTGCTTTATACTACAGATTTATATCCGTTCATTAAACATACACTAATCGAGAAAGGATTCTTGGATAAAACGAAGCCTAACTCTTGAAAGTTCACGTGATTTTAGGTGAACCAAGTTCACTGAAATTTGTAAGATTATTTTAGTATATCATTAGTAATAGTTCGACATAAAAATAAAGAAACTTGAGCCAGTTGAAAGGCTTATATATCATATTAACGAAATTAAAGATGCTCAAAAATATAATACCAATTCCAATATTCCTCAATGACCTTTCACTTTACTAATCTGTGACCATACTAATTCAAAAAAAACTAATAAAGTTCTTAATCTCATGCTCGAAAATAAGCTTTATCGAATGTTTAATAGGAAGAAGGAAGGGACACGTTATATCAAGAATGATGATTTGCTATTGATTGGCTACCAACTCAAGGAGCCAAAATATTTGTATCTCAAATCAGCCTATCAAATAATTACTAATAACCTAAAACCATATTGTGAGAATATTTCATTCTGAGCTTTGAAGCCTGATAAAATCCCTAAGATAGATTCATTTTATCCAGACAGGGATACAGTAGCTATATTTGAAGATGTATGTGCTGATCCAAAGAAAGTGCAAGAGAAAATTATTCCTTATTTTGTCAAAGGGCGTCATTACAATATCAGTTCGATATATGTATCTCAAAGTTATTTTGATTGCCCGAAGATAATACGAAAAAATCTTACACATGTCTGTCTATTTAACGGATCGTGCACTGCAGATGAGCTGAGCCGTATTGTGTATCAATATGCTAATGACTGGCGTAGTGTAATTAAGATTATTAACAAGGCTTTATGTGAACATAAATTCATTGTTTTTGATTTAACTGTACCTCGTGAACATCCACACAGGATACGTGTCGGCTGGGATATGCCACTTCTTAGTGAGAATCCAACTTCATAGATGCTAACCCTTTTTCTGCCTCCCGCACCTGCATCTTCAGATCCTCAACTTCACATCGTAATCTTTTATTTGCATTAACCCGCTCTCTATATTCCTTTTCTATGTCATGCATAAATTTCTCAAAAGTTTGTCTATTATAATCGAGCAGGTGCTGAGATAATACTTTAAGCTCATTCATAACTCGGCAATTATTCTCTTCTTCATAATCATGCTTTAGCACCTCCAGCCAGGCGCTATTGTCAATTTGGGTTTCATTATCTGGTAATTAAAGTTTTGATTTTTTTTATTGAAGAATCAATGAAAAGGTTGACATTGGATAATGCTTTTGCAATTGCTAAAGAGCGTGGTGGAACATGTGTTTCTACTGAATATATTAATGCTAGTACCCCAATGCGATGGAAATGTGCAAACAGTCATGAATGGACTGCAACTCTTAATAATATAAAAAATCATAAGAGATGGTGCCACATTGCGCAGTTAATAGACCTCTTACTATCGAAAATGCAAAGCAACTAGCTCGTAGCAAAAATGGGCTATGTATCTCTACTGAATACATTAATGTCAATACTCCAATGCAATGGCAGTGTACGAAAGGTCATGTTTGGACTACAACTTTACTAGTATAAAAAATCATAAGACGTGGTGTCCACATTGCGCAAATAATAAGCCTTGTACACTTGAAGATGCCAAGCAAGTGGCATGTAATAGAAATGGGCTATGTATTTCTACTGAATACATTAATGCTAATACTCTAATGCAATGGCGTTGTTCCGAAGGACATGAGTGGAATGCATCTTTTAATAATATAAAAAATGGTAAGAAATGGTGCCCACATTGCGCAGGTAATAGACCTCTTACCATCGAAAATGCAAAGCAATTGGCATGTAATAGAAATGGAACATGTCTTTCTAAATATTTTACTAATAATCGTTCAGCTTTATTATGGAAATGTGCCGAAGGACATTTATGGACTGCATCATTTAGCAATGTTAAACATTCAAACTCGTGGTGTCCATTCTGCTCGAAATATAAAAGAGAAAAACTATGTCGAGAAATAGTATCAAAATATCTTGGACCACCATCTAAAATACTCCGACCTGATTTCTTAAAAACACCCAAATATTATCAAGGATTAGAGCTTGATATTCCGTATTATGATTATGGTTTTGCCATTGAAGTCCAAGGGGAGCAACACGAAAAATTTAATAAGTTCTTTCATAGAGGTGATCCCAATAACTTTATCAAACAGCAAGCACGGGATCAACTCAAGAAAGAATTATGCGAAGAGAATTGGATTGACCTAAGGTATGTTTGGTATTACGAAGACCCATATGTAGTTATTCCAGAACATCTTCGAGAATTGGGTCTCATTTAATAAACTAAAAACTTTAATTTCATCTGTGCGATTTTTTAATTTGATCTAAGCAAGCCGGAGGGTGATCCTCTTGCAATTCGGCCAAGATTTGATACACCGTTGAACAGCAGAAGCGTAATACAAAAATGCCCCAGCTCCGGATAATTCATAATTGGGTCAGGAAAATCACGTATGCGTTAAGCCTACCATTTTACTAATATTACCCAAATATTCTGATACATACTTCGATTAATTTGCTAGTGATGAAAGTCTTTATTATTTTTTTTCAGAATATACAAATAACCGCGTGATAAGCTATGAATTTAAAAAATATATAATCTAGCGCCTCCCTCTCTAAATATGAATTTGTTTGCTATTTGTTGTCGGTGACTTTTGCTTTATTACTTTTCGGGGTCCACCACGGTTCACGAATATATTCCGACTTATAATGGGTGGGTCGACTCGTGTCAAGCTCATCACTATCGAAAATATCATCAAACGCATTATTCGTACTTTCTTTGGTCTCCACGATTTCACTTATCTTCTCATACATATCCTGTGTTATGTTAAAATGGATTAATGATACAAATACTTCAGATGTTGAATGAATAGGAACGTAAGTTTACCATGACAAACTTGATAATGTTTACAGAGGATTTCAGCTTTTCAATATGTTGAAGCTTCGTGGGAAGCTCAAACTTTGGACCCGGAAAGACAACATAAAAACCCTCAATCAAATCCTCAATTAACATCTGCCCATTCGTACCCGCAATCTGTAAAAAGGGAACATTGATTTTCTTAACCTGTTCATTGGTCAGGTTGCGATTCAACAGACCATTTAATATCGATTGATTAATACGAGCTGATCGACAACGGTCGCCAATTGCCTTTTGTGGTGTTGCATTTGATGCAAACTCCCACTCTCAAAGGTCTACTCCTGATAGTGACAAGAAGCGCACATCACACTTGCGACCATTCTTATAGTCCGTGCTTCTGCTCAATGGACAGAATGACTCTCCCCTTATTTTAATATACAAAATTGTAACATAAGTAATTTGTGAGAATGGAATACAAAACAATCAAATCTCATTTATACCAACCATCTTTGTTTTACTACCAGACTCTTCCTCAGTCCTTCAACAATATATGAACATGCTTTTAGTATTATGTCAATCTCAGTGTGTGCAGAATCCAACATATCGCCATCCTCACTTCTGTAAATACTATAAACATCAAAATTATCAGAATTAAATCACAAAAAATAAAGAATCAAAGCAATTTATAGTAGAATAAAGTACTAACAAATCTAAGTATACTTTACTAATCTTTCGCATGTAGCTGTTCGCCTCGGAGCTAGTAAATTTTCTAGTGCAAAATTCGTATGCTTCGTTTATTCTTTTTTCGAGTACTATCTGTATAAAAAAAACTAATCAACATGCATATTTGTGTACAGAACAAGCAAATTCAAAACAATGCATGTACCTTTTCGATAGTTGTGACAAAGGAAGTTTCTTCGTCTTTCAGGCCGGGAACTTGTAATAAAGACATGTAATCTTTCATCATAAATCTTCTATCTTCGAGAGAAAACCATTGTTTCATATGAGCCGATAGATCGATTATTTGTGATAAACCATAGCGTAATACAGCTTTTTTTATAGCTGATAATTTCTTTTTCTTTTTCATTTCCTTCGCATTTTCAGATATTTTCTTAGCAACAATATCGCCAACATTTAGGTTCGAGGGCAAGATCCAGCTTCTTTGATTGTTAAGAATGAAATCTAGAGTTCCTTCTGGGGAAGGGACACCTTCTTCGTCATCGTTATCATCATTATACTCTTCAGTGGAATCATCATTATCCCACGGTAACAGGTTCAGGAGAGTCGTCATCTCAATTTTTGCACCACCAGGCAATGTGTCCCCCTAAAAAATTGAATCGATTACCTTCTGTCTGTGGAAAGCGTTTTTTTTTGCGGACAATATTTAAGTTATATACCGACCCTTTTTCTTGCTGATTTCTTTTTTGGTGGTTTAGTTGTTTTTTCACTTGAGGACAAGATAGATGGATGATGCATTTGGTGTTCGGGAGTATGTGGTGGTTCATCATCTACTTGGAGACATTGACGTTTGCTCGAACAATCTTCAAGATCCGTATCTTCCAAACATCTCGCAAATTTACTTCGCACAATTAGTCCTTGTTGTGTAATCTCATCCCGTATTGTCCGTTCTTGTTCGAATGTCGAGAAAACAACGTCGGTGATATGTTCTTCCTGAAAACAACAAAAATATATTAAGGATTATCTCGTCACGTGAATCTTCATAATATTTCATACCGTCAGAGCCGTGCGTTCAGCTACTGCAGTAAATTTCCGTTTTTGTGACGAATCAATGCTTTTCCAGAATTCTTTAACCAGCTGTGATTTCTTTTCGTCTATTGAATGATGCGGTATTAGTAATATCCAAAAGAAAAACAAAAACAGTATTCTAGAAAATCAACATAGGACTAGAGTCAGGACGGAACCGTAGCTCATCACTACCCGATCTTAGTCAGGAAGTGTGGGTGGTTGAACGCAGGTCGGACCCCATCCAAAGAACTATTGTCCCTTAGACCCATCCACTGACAACCAGAAAGAAATCAGTCGTCCACTGACGACTAGTATGAAAAATTCATAGACAGGTGGAACCACCACAAACCGTAGCTTATCACTACCCGATCTTAGTCAGGAAGTGTGGGTGGTTGAACGCAGGTCGGACCCCATCTAAAGGATTACTGCCCTTTAGACCCACCCACTGCCATACAAAATTTAAAAAAAAACTTAACCTGAAAAGTAACAAGCGCATTTCCGGCCTTTTTTATTGTAGCCTCGCTTGCCTGTTCCATATTCATTATAGTTGAGAGGCTTCGAGTGTACAGGGAATGTTCTTTATGCTTGTCTGGCTGGAAATCAGTACACTTTTGGCGGTATAATAGATATTCCGGCAAAGACCATTCGTTCTTTAAAGTAAAATACTTGTCTGTTTCTAGCGAGAAGAATCTATTACCGAGGGGTAGAAAATTACAAAACACAAAACGAGTATAAGCTTACTCTCTGTTGTTTCGTTTGTTTCGGCTAACGTGGCTTCAGTAGAGGTAGTTAGTTTTGACATAGTTTAGTATAAATGGAAAACGAGAAGACGGAAGAAAAAATTTTTTGTTAAAACGATTGTTGCACAGAGATCTGATTGATTAGTTGTTTGAGATGATCGCTAACTTGAATTTATTGCTCGACATATCCCATAACAGATAATGTTCTGATTAAGACTTATGTTATTATTAATTTTTGTGCAAGGAAAAAAATAATATGATGCTATCAAAGAGGGAGGGAGTACGTGGATCCTAAGCCATTTCATGCGAGTCCCAGCTTTGCTCTCCCACGATTCTGAAAAATATCTATGAATAATTTGTTTCTATCATTACCAAATACAGGACTCTTTTACTATACTAGATTTTCGAAATAAATTATCCCACCATATCTACGCCTATCTATATCACACAGACTATGTAAAATAATATTCCCCTAAGGGCTATCTGGAAGACTATCAATAATATGTTTATAGTCGGAATGGAACATTTTATTAGATATAGTTTTACGCAAAAAAAAAGTTTGCACAGAAGAAATTCACTCCCGGCATAGGACATAGCATTAAAAATAAATTTACGCGTCAATATCACGAGAGATCTGCTAGTAATACAACTTCGATCAAATCACGTGTGCGCCTCTAATGCCGATCACTTTTGCCTAGCCAGCATTAATACAGGATCATGTTTTTCGTTATACAGATAATAAATTTTTTACTAATTCGTTTTGCGATATTCAAAAGAAACAAATCATGTGTTTTCTGAGACCGCGCAGTCCCGCAAATTTGCCAAGAAAAAAAAATAACATTAAACAATGGGATCATAATATTGTTGTAATAAATTTTTATTAATAATATATACAATCTATCTATTTTAACTTAATCAAATGTTACTGTTGAACTATTTTCTAAATTTCTATTTGATCTACGTAAAGGAGTATTGCGCAGTAAAGACATGTTAACAATTAAAATATTCCGCAAAACCAACAATGTCTTAATGAATTCGGCCAGAACAGAAGGTTCATGCGAATAATGAATTAGAATTATAGATTCGCATAATTTGTAATAACAATGTACTTCAACCTTGTCTCTAATCAGAATATTCAGACATAGCTTTTGTCTTGTTACCTGCACCCCTATAATTCCAAATTGACCCTTCTTAGGTTTGTGACTTTTTTAGACCCAGTACATTCCATCATTAGTTTCACGCCATAATTTCACATTATTATCATCTTCCTTCTGCTTATTACAAAAAATTCGTGAGCATTCTACATACATAAGTTCGTATAGTTTATCATTCTCTTTTGACACAAGCATTATATCCGGCTATCTTCCTGTACATCCGTCATCCCTTCTATCTGAACTTGCTATACTTTGGCGTTCAAAACTAAAAAAGGAATTATATTCATCGTAATTTAAGATTCGTAACTAGCTATAGTCAGATATTACAAAAAACTTACGTAGTAATGAATGCATGTTCTCCAAAAGGGTTATCAAATAATGTAGCATGGATTGCGAAAATAACTATATTATTAACATAGATACCCTTATTCATCGTTTCAACAAATTCAGGACTAAAAGCTGGATTGCACTAAACACTTTTTAATGTATTAAGAATTTTTAACGTAATTTCATTAAGCTTATTGTTGCCTTCCTTCCAGTTTTCATCATGCGTTAATCTTTCTTGCAACCTTGGTATACTTCGTGACATAAAATTTATTACAAATTTTACACATTCTTCTGTTATGCCTCGAGATATTGTTAGGTACCATTTTTTCAACCGGTTTCTGAAATGAATATAATTAATTTTTAGATGATAGAAATAATATATATTATTTTTTACTGTCGAGAAAAAGAGAGTATTAGCGAAGATACATACCATAAATTTTTTCTTTTATTTTTTTGATAATTGAGCTACTAATAATAAATCACTACTGATAACCTGACTAGCTAAAGGGATCTTCCAGGTTAGTTCAGAGATTGTTAATCTATTTAAAATAACTACTAACTCCTGGTAAAGTTTTGATGTTCTGGTCTAAATAATACGAATACCTCATATTAGTCTAACTTATCAGCATAATAAAAAAAGATAGTGCCACTTACAGCAAGTTTTCCTTTCAACTTATTTATATTGTGTTTAATCTGCTCTGAAGTAAGAGGCTTCTCTTTATTCTACAAATCAAAAGATTGTTATTAAATATATTTATATCATCTATCCTTTCTTAAAATATACCATTTTTATAACTCTAACGTTCTGCAAATTACTAATACAATCAAAAGCAATATTGAACTAACGTAAATATACAAATAAGTTAGATAACCGCTGATGTATCAAATGAAAATATAAATAACTGCACGGTCATCAAAAAATAACACAAAAAAATCACTTGATATGATCTAGCTACACAAATGAAACTTTGTGTAGCACAATATTAATCACATTAAAATAAGCATGGACTTTAACATAAATAACTCTTCACACCGTCGAGAAAAATCCTGTTGGTAGGCTAATAGGATTTTTATACTGACATATTTATCTTCTCAGAAGTGCCACTATCTATATATTCATCATTTGATATAATATGATCATAATATTTCACCTATAAAATAGCGTACCTGTGGTATAATTTGAATAAGTT